TTACTTTCATCAAGAGGCTCTTCAGTTCCCCTTTGCTTTCTGCCATAAAGGTGGTATCATCTCCATATTTGATATTTCTCCTGGCAATCTTGATTCTAGCTTGTGCTTCATCCAGCTCAGCATTTCATGTGATGTACTCTGCATATAAGTTAAATAAGCAAGGTGACAATATGCAGCCTTGATATACTCCTTTTCCAATTTGGAACCAGTCCATTATTCCATGTACGGTTCTAACTGTTGCTTCTTGAACTGCATATAGATTTCTCAGTTTACATTTGAAATATTTCTAAATATTATTTGAAATGGAATTTTTCAGTACACATTTTAATTGTGTGTTACTGATATGTTAGAATACAATTAAGCAAAGAGGCCATTAGACCAAAGTGGTCCAATCCATTGGTAGCTTACGGAAACAAAATCTAAGCTAGAGTCAATACACTTGAATCCTAGGGAACAAAACTTAAGAGCAACTAGTACAGACAGCCAACTAGGCTTTCCTAAATAAGGCAACTGCTTAAGCAATAGTGAATCAAATAATTTATTAATGTTTGCTTTGCCTTCTAGTCTTCTTTGTAAAAGACTTTCATCTCATTTCGTCTATGGAGTTCTAACCAATTTCAGTTTGCTTTGCCTGGTTGGAATTATATTTGCTCAAATAAAATCCTAGGAATTCTAATATTCTTCAGGTTATCTTTTAATAGATTTTTTATTTAAACTTGCTTTTTCTAATGATAACAATGACAAATGTCCTTTACTTAGAATTTTCCTGGTATAATATTTTAAAAATACTACTTCCTACAGGGCAATTTAGACCATTTTACTGTTTATACTTTTCAGTGTATTAAGGACTAATTTCTACTATCATAATTTGTGTCTTCCTATACTCAGTCATTTATGCTATTTTTCTCCCTGATATCTTTGGACTTTGGGTGTTTCTTTAGTTTCCCACCCATTCACATACTGGTTTAAAATTTATACACTCTTGTTCTTTTTTTTTTTAAGTCTAATTTTGAAATCGTTTCCCCAATGGCTCAGCAGGTAAAGAATCCACCTGATGCGGGTTTGATCCCTAAATTGAGAAGATCCCTTGAAGTAGGAAATGGCAACCCACTAAGTATTTTTGTCTGGGAAACTTCATGGACAGAGGAGCCATGGATTGCAGGACAGTGGGTTACAATCCATGGGACTTCAGAGAGTTGGACACACACAGACTGAGCAGAACACAGCAGAGTCCTAGAGCTAACAAATTTTAAAATTGATGTGTGCAATCCTAAAATAATCTACTCCAGGGCAGCACAGACTTGGATACAGTACAATAGGTAACTAATTTCTTTCTTCACCAATCCCCAAGATTATGTTAATGTTTCAATAACTATTCTACATATTGATATACCAGGATCTAACAGCTTTTAAAAACTTCTCATTATATTTAGTTACCTACAGTTTCACTAAGATATGCCCACATGAAGATTTATCCTATTGAATTCTTGTGCCTTTTGAATCTGAGAAGTCATTTCTTTCGACAAATTATTCCTTTGCCTTCTCTCCAGTCTTTCTGCTTTCAGTAATACCTGCTAGGCTCTCCCCTAGTTCATTATAGTTTCTTTTCTATTTTTCCTTGTATTGTAATATGCATCACAATCTCAGGTCTTTCTAATTTTTTCACCTGAATTGAATCCACTGAATTCAATGTAATAAGCTTATAAGTTTTATCTATAACATGCTTAGATATATCACAAATTAATTTAAAATGATCTTTTCTCTTTTGGTTTCTATGTTTGCTTTTCTATGTTTGGTTTCTATGTTTGCTTTAAAGAAATTTAATTAATTTCTTTGTTTTAAATAAATTAAGCACTCTTCTTTAAAAGGCTATCTGATACTTCTATAATCTGTAGATATTGAGAATTTAATTCTGTTACTTATTTTATTTACTAATAAATGACTCATGATATATTTTCCTTTTTTTACCTTTGGCCTACATAATAATCCTTTCTCAGTACTATATATGTTGCAAATTATTTCTTCAAATATAGATTTGTAAGCCTTTGAATATGTAAGTCCTTTGTTCTACACTGTTGCTTTTTGTATTGATATAGTTAAATCTGGGTGTGTTCAACAACACATTTTTCAAGTACTTTTTGAGTTTTTCTATTTATGCTTATTAGTTTTGTAATTGCAATTGACTTTTGTGTATTCAAAATAAAAATCTAAATTTCATTTCCTATATGCAGAAGTTATTACAGAACATGAATTTCTGAATAACTAATAATGTTAAATTTATGATATAATAAATTTCCATGTAGGTGGCAAAAAGAAAAGAATAACTAGTATGAGTTGCTGGCTTTCCCCCAAAATAGGGATACTTCAGGCTTGAGATGACATAGAAATATGTGGATCTGGAAAACTGACACAAAAATCTGTGTGAAAGCTCTTTAGAAATAGAAGGCATTTAAGAAAAAAATGTCATCCTAGGATACAGTGTGTATGTTTGAGGGGCTGACAAAAGAAGATAACATATAATGGAAAATCTTTTCATGCACTTTTAAAATTTTGGACTGCTCTATTACCACTTGCAATCCATTATATATTTTGTTACACTCATGAAATATTGGAGTGATAATAATTCAATATATTAAGAAAATATCTTGATAAATTTCATTTCATATTTGTGACTTTAAAAATATATTCAATCAGAAAGAATGCAAAAGAACATTCTATTAATACCTTAAGATGCCTATATTACACACACTGAAAACAATCATCAAAATTCATGAAGTTACTAAAATGTATTTCTCTTAAACTTGAAAAAAATAATTTATAAAAGTATGTCTGTCACTACTGCTATTGTTTTTAGTTAAGCCCTATGAATATTTTAAAAGAAAAAAAATGCTGTAAGAGAATGCTGTAATATCTGTTAGAATGAGAAGAGAATTAACTTTTTTAATTATTTTTAGACTTTATCAGCCACATTATAAATCCATCAGGTGCAGCAAGTCATTTTATGGATACTGATTAACTGATTCTAAAGATTACATGGAGAAGTAAAAGATCCTGAATAGCCAATACTATATCAAAGGAGAAGAATGGAATTGCAGGACAGATGCAACCATACTTCAAGACTGACTATAAAGCTATAGTAATTAAGATGATGTAGTACTAATGAGGGCTTCCCTGGCAGCTCAGACGGTAAAGAATCTGCCTTCAATGCGGATGACATGGGTTTGATCCCTGGATTGGGAAGATCCCCTGGAGGAGGGCATGGCAACTCACTCCAGTATTCTTGCCTGGAGAATCCCCATGGACAGAGGAACCTGGTGGGCTATAGTCCATGGGGTCGCCAAGAATCAGACATGACTGAGTGACTAAGTACAGTACTGATGAAAGAACAGGAAAATAGGCCAGTGTCACAAACTAGAGGCCCCAGAAGTAGATCCACATAAATATAGTGAACTGATTTTTGTAAAGTAGCAAAGGCAATGCAATGGAGCAAAGATAGTCTCTTCATCTTTGCAAAAAATGGTGCTGGAATAACTGGCCATACACATGAGATAAAAATGAATGTAGAAAGACCTTATATTCGTCACAAATTAACTCAAAAGGGAGCACAGACCTAAATGTAAAATACAAAACTGTAAAACTCCTAGAAGTAATAACAAGAGAAAGCCTATGTGATTTTAGGTATAGGGATGCCTTTTGATTTTTATTTATCTATTTTTTAGTATGATTCATTTGGCTGTGTCAGGTCTTAGTTGCAGCAGGCAGGATCTCTCATTGCCTTTCATTGCACCATGCTGGATTCTCTCTAGTTGTGGCAGAGGCTTAGTTACCCCACAGCATGTGGGATCTTAACTCCCCAGCCAGGGATCTAACATGTGTTCCCTGCATTGGAAAGTGTATTTTTTTAAATTTACTTTTATTTTCCTTTTCTTGCACTGAATTTCTTGCATCTGTAAAGTCATTTGATGTTGGTCAGATGCCATTTTATCCCCTAAAACAACTTTGCTGGCATCAAAATATGACAGTTAACCAGTGTTAAATCTATAAAAATATTTACATAGCACAGCACATTAAGTTTTAGACACTTGGCAATCAAACCACATAAAAATTGGACAGGACCCCCAACCTACATGTTCAGAATCAGGTGTTCACAGTCCCTATCTGGTGACTGTACATGGTTCAAGAGGCAGCAGAGGCAACAGGCAGTCACCTCAAAGGACACGGACCTCTGTTATCTGGAAGCACACTATGTGATCCCAGTGTCATGTACCACTCCACCTTTTTCTCAAGGCGGTCTCATAATTCTGGAATGGCAGGTCCGGCTGATACAAAATGAAGACAGACAACACAACGTTTACTCTGTGGAGACATCCTAACTCCTTCCATGCATGGTGATCTTGAATGCAGCTCGTCCTAAAAACTTGTCATGGTCATTCTGGGTTTTTAGGTTGGGTGATCCATCAATCTTTCACTCAACTATTACTTCTTTTACATCACCATCACTACCAAAGCTGAGCTGGACAGCAACTAGTGGCTGCGTGTAGCATCCATGCAGTTTTGTTTTGTTTTCCATAATATGGAAATATTTTAAATCTATCTTTCCACTGGGAGGATAAGTTGATAGAACTGCTGTGTTTTCACTTTTTGTAATACAGTCTATCCTTGGTTCTCCTTGAGGCTTTAATACAATTATTCTTCTCATTTTCACAAGAATACAAGGGTGTCCTGATTGGTAGCCAAAGGTGGGCTCATCCACGCCACCGTATGCTTCAAGTAAAGCAAGAGGAAACTCATATGCTGTGTATTCTGGACCCTTCTGCTCCAAAAAGCTTCCATTGGTACAATCTGTGAGATTCTTCTGTTCTTCTAAGCCATACGGCTTTAAAACTTTCTTATGGTCATCAATGTACCCTTAATAGGATTCTGAATAAGACAGGCTGAATGAAAAATCCAACGCTGGCACCGGTTTTGGAAAACCCATAAGTCCTGGACTAGGAATCTGGTCACGATATTTTGGAACCATCTTCGTTCAGAGAATGAAGCATGGCCCACATCGTGAATGAAAAGAGTGAAGCCAGGAACCCGTAAAAGACTGGGTAGAAGATCAAGATCAAACCCCAGCTCTTGGCCTTGCGCCCCAGGAGCTCTCTGGTGGTCTGGTTGTAGATGAAGAGCTTCCACTCTGGCAGGCTCCGGTTGAAGGACTTCGTGTCTCTCTTCTTCATGGTGTGTGTGCCTACCGCGAGTGGAGCGGCGGGGCGGAAGCTGCGAGGAGGGCGGAGGCGCACCCCTGTTAGGGCAGAGCCCTGAGAAGTTGGCGGAATGCGCATCGGCTGAGGACATCTCCTCAGTGCAGTGAGCCCTCAGACAGGAAAGCTTTTTTTTTTTTTTCCCCGTTATTATTTTTTTATTGAAGGATAATTGCTTTACAAAATTTCATTGTTTTCTGTCAAACCTCAACATGAATCAGCCATAGGTATACATATATCTCCTCCCTTTTGAACCTCCCTCTCATCTCCCTCCCCACCCCACCCTCCTAGGAAAGTGTATTCTTAACCACTGGTGGTGGTTTGTTCAGTCGCTAAGTCGTGTCCAACCTTTTGCAACTCCGTGGGCTGCAGCATGCCAGGCTTCCCTGTCCTTCCCTCTAACCCAGAGTTTGCTCAAACTCACATCCATTGAGTCAGTGATGCCATCCAAGCATCACACTCTCTGTCGTCCCCTTCTCCTCCTGCTCTCAATCTTTCCCAATATCAGGGTCTTTTCTAATGAATTGGCTCTAGGAATCAGGTGAAAAAAGCATTGGAATTTCAGCTTCAGCATCTGTCCTCCCAATGAATATTCAGGGTTGATTTCCTTTAGGATTAACTGGTTTGATCTTCTTGCTATCTAAAGGGCTCTCACCAGGGACGTTCTGACGATTCCTTTTTAGATATAGAATCAAAGGCACCATCCATGAAAGAAATAATAAGATTTACTTCATTGAAATAGAAAACTTCTAACCTGTAAAAGACAATATCAAAAGACAAGTCAAGACTTGAGAAAATATTTACAGAAGATACATCTTAACAAACTAAGCATACTCTTGCTATATTATTGAGCAGTCAAGCTCCTTCATATGTATTCAAAGGAGTTACAAATTATGTCTATACAAAAACATGCACATGGATATTCATAGCAGCCTTATTTGTAACTTCCAAAACTTGGAAGCAACCAAGATGTCCATCAGTAGTTGAGTGTATAAACTGTGGTATATCCAGACGATGGAATGTTATTCAGCACTAAAAATAAATGTCAATAAATAAATAAAAATAAAAGTTATGAAACAACATGGATAAATCTTAAATGTATATTATTTAGTGAAAGAAGCCAACCTAAAAAAGCTACATATGGTTTTATACCAAATTATGACACTAGAAAGGGCAAAGCTTGGAGATATTAAAAAGACCAATGGCTTGTATGGTTAGAGGAATGGGGAAATTAATTGGTAGAGCATAAAAGATATTTAATACAATGAAAATATTCTGTCTCATATTATCATGATGGATATATGTCCTTATACATTTATCTAAGCACTGAGTGTTGATGTATGATATATTTTACAACACTAAGAGTGAACCCTAATGCTTTTTGGATGATAATGATATATCAATGTAGGTTCATCCTTAGTAAAAATTACCACTGAGGTGAGTGATGTGATAATTGAGGAGAATATGTATGTATGTAGGTGCAGAAATCATATGGGAAATTTCATTATCTTCCTCCCAATTTTGCTTAAAACTTATCTTTTATAAAAGTCTTAAAAATACATCAGAATTTGAAATTAAAAAGTGATGAAACTTTATCACAATAGCTAAATATAATATCAAGTTATAAAATTTAATGCTTTTTATTTAGAATATTACTTAGTATAATAACCAAAAGCAAGATTAGTATAATTAAAAATCAAGAAAGCATTTTTTTAGAATTAATTCACAAACAAGTCACAAGAGATTACGAACTGTCGATAAGTAACATAAAGAAAATCTAAATAAAAACAGAGATAAATCAGCTCATGAATAACAAATTTTAACATTGTAAAGTTTGTAATCACTTTTTCCAGTAATAGGTAAACATGTTTGTATTCAAGAGAAAAATTTAACTGTGTATTTTTGAAACTCTGTACATTTGTAATTTTAAAAGAGTAAAAGTTCATTGTTAATTAATTTCTTATGAGAACAGAAACAGAAATCAACTTAGCAGGTACATAAATATCCTACAGAGCCATATATTTTAAAACATTTTCTTCTTTTTTTTGGCCAAAAAATCAGGAAAATAAGACTGATGGAACACACTAGAAAGCTCAGAAACAGATGCACCCAGGAAGATACAGCAATAAATGTAACTGAAATAAATGAGGAGGGGTGGAATATCTGGGATTTGATTTAGAACAATCTGGCACACCACATGCAAGAAAAAAATGGCCCATGTTTTGTTATAAAAAAATGTAAAAAGAATTAAGATTGTGGGGCTAATTATAGAAAATTCCAGATGATAAATCAACAAATAACTGCAATCTTGAGTCAGGAAAACAGATTTTAGAAAGCTAAAAAGAATAATTCATAAGAAAAAATATAATGATTAGAGTGCATAAAAACCAGTGACTGTATTCAATGTAAAATTCTATAGTATGTTAATTAAAGCCAGATAGTCACACAATTTAAATGATATGTAAAGCATCTGTACAATGTCTAAAATAATTGGAATGCAGTGCAAAATGGCACAGACTATAGGTCATTGCCTGTTTTCAAATATTGGCACATATCTGATTTTTACTGTTGTCGTTTTTGTCATAGATATTTCTTAATGTCTTTGTGGATCAGATTTTTTTGATGTTCCAGTGTTATTTTGATCACTATACTTTCATGGAAATTAATCAAGTTCATATCTGGGGTAATATTAGACCAGTGCATGGAATATAAACATCTAAATAAATACAGTTATTAATATGCATTAAAATATAAGCTATTATTTTAAGTCTTATTATTTATATTATCATCTTTTACCAACAAAGGCATATAATTTAGATCATCAAAGGGATATTTAAATTCAATAAGATAAATACAAAACAACAAATAAAAATATGGCCACAGATATAATTAGGCAATTCATAGATGGGGAAACAGATAATTAATAAGTAAAGCATATCAAAGGATACACAATTATTGTTTTCACTTTCTATCATCCCTGCAATTTGCATGTAGCTTACATTTATTGTTTCATGTGATTTAATTAACAGATTTTCAAAACTGTTCATAATTAATGAAGTGGATCTTAAATTGTTTGCTGTCTCATCATTTATGAACAGAGTATAAAAACTCCTTAATCTCAGAAGTAATCAGGGAAATGCAAATTTGAGAAAAGAGAAAACTTTACACTCATGACATTGACCCACATACTAAAAAAGTTTTAATTACACAAAAGTCTGATGATGATTTGGAACACAGAAAGCATCCTGCGGGCTTCCCTTGCGCCTCAGTGCTGGATACTGCTTGCCTGCCAATGCAGGAGACTTGGATTTGATCCCTGGTCCAGGAGGATCCCACATGTCATGGAGTAACTAAGCCCATGAACCACAGGTACTGAACCTGTGCTCTAGAGCCCGAGAGTCACAAATACCGAGGCCTGCACACCCTGGAGTCCATGCTTCACAACGGGAGAAGCCACCACGATGAGAAGCCTGCACACCCCAACCAAAGAGCAGCCCTGCTCACTGCGACTAGAGAAAAGGCCTCAAAGTAAAAAATAAATAAATAAATACAATTATTAAAAAAAGAAAAAGAAAGCATCTTGTATCTCTAATGGGAATATAAGTTTATCAACAACCCTGGAAAGTCCTCTGGGAGTATGCAATGAAAGTGGTTATTTGTATACCCCAAGACTCACCAACATTTTCTATCTATCAATCTAATCTCCATTGTATTCATCCAAGAGAAGTTATTACAGAAGTACTTTAAAACACTTCACATTGGTAACTGTAATGCATTTGGGGGTTTCAAGGTCATTTAGCAATAACCTAGGATCTCATCCTATGCAAATATCAGACATACACTACGGAATATAGTCATCAACAAGCTAGATGTATACACAGCAGCATAGGTTGAACTAGCATACATAATGATGAATGAGAAAAATCAAGAAGTGAAAAATATATTCGTGTAAATTAAATGTTACATACAGGCTAAAACACACAACAAAATATGTGTGTTCAAATGCCTATATGAATAGACATATAACATTTTTTTAGTAGAACGTCTAAATGGGAAGATCCCTTGGAGAGGAATGTGGTGGGCCACTTCAACATTCTTGCCTGGAGAATCCCCATGGATGAAGGAGACTTGCAGGCTACAGTCCATAGGGTTGCAAAGACTGAAGAGACTGACTTAGTGCTCCTGGAGTTAGGGAAATAGCAGTGTGGATTCAGGAATAGAGTGGAAAAAAAATAAAAGAAAGGAACTGTCCATTTTTGGCCCTCTGATGATAAAATACTATGAACAAGAGCTCAAGTTTGATATTTTAAGTTAGACAATTAATGAATGAACATTATACTGGTTTGGGGCTTGAGATTCTGTTTCCTTTATGTTTGGTTTATTTCTGTACTAATTGTACATATTAGGTGCTGCTAGTGGTAACCCACTCCAGTGTTCTTGCCTGGAGAATCCCAGGAACGGGGGAGCCTGGTGGGCTGCCATCTATGGGGTCGCACAGAGTCGGACACGACTGAAGCGACTTAGCAGCAGTAGCAGCAGCAGCGGTGGTAAAGAACCCACCTGCCAATGTAGGAGATACTAGACATGGATTTAATCCCTGGGTCAGGAAGATCCCCTTGGAGAAGGGCACTGTGACCCACTCCACGACTGTTGCCTGAAGAATCCGTTGGACAGAGGAGGCTAGTGGGCTACCATCCATAGGGTCACAGAGTTGACCACAACCTAATTGACTTACCACTCAGCAAGCATATATTCACTTTAAATCTGATCTGAAGTTCTCACTCCCTCAATGTATTCATCATTTCCCAAACTTCTTGTTGGAGGAGGTCATGGTGAGGACTTGATTGCTGGTTGACCTGCAAGCTGGACCCAGGCAATCAGAGATTCTCTCCACCCACCAGCCCCCCCACCCTCCCTGCAGAATGTATGTTCCCACCCATCATTCCAATGCTAAGAGCTATTTAAAAGACACAGCTTTGAGAGAGTGAAGTGTTGTTGAGACCATCTGGACTGAATATGTGACCAAACCCAATTAAGGCCTCTGTATAAACTTTTAAGATTCTGATAGGCAGATGCTGAGA